AGGATCCGGTCCTCCCCTGCACAAGTCACTTCTTGTCCCCGGGCCGGGGAGCAGCCGAAACTGGCAGCCCAAGACAAGCAGCCGGGCCGTGATGGGGAGGCAACATGTCCCGGCTGGGCGAGGGGTAGCGCGTCTGAGTTAGCAGCACATTAAATCCAAGCTATCTTTGTGTGATAACCCACGAACAATCGCTTGCCACTTGCCTGTCAAATCCTGCGGGTAGAGTCTTTGTGTGTGGCTAAACATGCCCAAGCACAGTGGCCCAGAGAGGGAGGGCTCCGCCGCTCCCTCCTGCCAGCCTTGGGCGGCAGCGCGGCCCCTTTACAGCCGAACCGCATCCTGCATCTCACCGCACCGCTTCTTCAAAGCCCCAGCCTCTGCACGGGGGCCTCTGCTCCCATCTGAGGCGACAAACGTGGTCATCTCCAGCCCTCTGCCGCCCCGAGAAAGGGGCGCTGCTCCCGCAGCCCAAGGAGCAGAGGCTTCCAAACCCCAAACTCTCCTGAATCGCGCTCCTGGATCCGTGGGTTTACTGCAGTGTTTTTAATCCTCCTTACCTCTGTACATGCCAAAAAGCTCATCTTACCTGTCGTGGCAGACTCCAGGAGCAACGGCAAAGGAACGGAGCTGGCTCGGGGCGGGACGGGCATTCGAGGGAAAAGCAAGCGTGCCGCGTTCGGCAGCCGGGCAGGAGCACGCTTTCAGACCGCAAGCTGCCAGGAAGCAGCTCAGCAGCACGGCACAAGCATGGCTGTAAAACAGAGCAACAGACGCGTACGGGGTCCACCTTAAACCCCCCCACAGGGGCTCTGATCTCTGCCCGGCACCAGCCCACCCACCGAGGACGGGGCACACGGCCGGCTGGCGCGGCTCACGGGACCTTTCCTACCGCAGCTGGGCATCTCTCGTACCAGAAGCTATCACAGGAAAAAAATTTTGAAGAGATCAAGTGGGATCAATGCCTTATTCATCACTCGCTCCAGCGCTGCCTGCTGCCGGGACTGTGTTTACCGTGTGTCCTAGCAGCGCGGCACAGCGCTCCCTCCCCACCCTGAGAGCGCTCCTTCCCGTGGGCAGGGCTGGATTCTCCAGCGGCTCCGGCAGTCTGCTGGGGAGGACTCGGGCTGTGCCACTCGGTTTCCGACCCTGCGCCGGGCCAGCCAAAGAATATAGCCCCGGTCGTGACATGTCCGGGTGGCATAGCCCTGCAGGCACGTGTATTTGGATTCAGGGCTTCTTGGCACATCAGAAAGCGCCTCTTTCATAATGCCCGTGACTTCTTCAGCCTGTGGGGCATCAAAGGCAGTAACTCCACAACGTTAATAGCCAGTTACTGGAACTGCACAGGTTTTGTCCACAGGAGCAACAGAGCCGGCGATCCCGGGTTGCAGCAGAGACAAGTGTCGTGGCACCAGGACATGCTGCCCACCTCTGCTGCCTCCTCCATCCCCAGCAGCTCTAAAGCAACCTCAGCTGTAGGTTGGGGCAGTTCCCCTGCTAATCCTCCTGGTGGGCCTCGAGCCAGCCAAACAGACGGCAGCCTCCATGCCTGCCCAGCCTCAGCCGACCCTCCGCTTGCGCTGGGCTGCCCTCCCCGGGGCGGCTGATCGTGTTAGCTGGGCATGGGAATCGCCATGGGGCCAGCTAGCCACGCTGCTACAGACCCTTCCCACCCGCCAACTGCTTTTTGGCTGAAGTTTCAGCTCGGTAACCGGTTTTCCCCTCTGGTTTGCAGGATTTAGCCTCCGAGCGGCTGAATGGCAGAGGTAATGCGCACGGGAGCCGGGGGCGCGGGTGCTGCCAGGCTGAGCCTGGCGACACAGGGCCACACTCCTCTGTGTTGCAGGTCCCAGCACGAGGCGCAAAGCCTCCACGGCGCTGGAGTCCTTCAAGCGGATCGGCATCCCCGTCCTGGCAGCGGTGCTCTGCCTCGCCTGCCTGGTTGCGGTCGGGTTCCTGGGTACGGCTCCCGCTCTCCTCTCCTCCCTCCTCCTACCGCTGCTGGGCACAGCCACGGCTCGGCAAACACGGCTCTGGACCCAGGGCTCAGCCAGGACCGGCTCTGCCACCTTCTCGCTGGGCCCCCAAGCGCAAGCCCTGAGCCCACCCGGCGGCACGAGCTCAGCGCTGGGCTCCCCTTTCTCTCTAGTCAAGGTGTACCTGGAGCACTCCTCCGGCACGCAGCCCCTGAAGCTGGTGCCGCTGCAGCAGGTGTGCGACGGGCAGGTGGACTGTCTGCAGGGGGACGACGAGGCCAACTGTCCCCAGCGGGTCCCTGAGGGACCACCACCTGGGGGTGAGTCCAGGACACCCTGCTCGCGCTGCGGAGGGGCCGGGCTGCTGCCGCGAGCCTCTGCCTG